TATATATATATATATACACATACATACACACATACACACATACCTACATACATACGTACATACATACATACATATACACATCATACATATATATATATATACACACACATACATATGTATGTGCATATACATAAGATTATAACATGAATACATACGCTGCTTTCAATCGCAGGCAACTCAGCTGGTCTATGTCTATGTTCTGGGGACCACACGCCAAAGGCTCCATACGTCTGCAACTGGCACAGATCAGGGTCCACAGTGAATTTGATTGAACGGCATATCATAGCCCAACTCATGAGGGCTCGACCTTTGAGATAAAGGCGAACTCAAAATCCGCAGGGTCAATGGCAACCTGTCTTTATGGTTGTAAGCACATGTTCGAAATGCAAGACTTATGAAATTAACAAAATGGCCCTGCAATCATGCTACGGGTTCCATCGGGACGGAGCAGAGGTCGAAGTTCATGTCAAAGATCAGGAGAGAAGTTGGCGCCTCATCCATCTTACACTTGCCACACCGCAACTTATTGGCTTGCCCCCTCAGCACATGGCAGTAAGGTCCGACAGCTCTGCCATCGCTGGGATGAGCTTGACCTGTGAAATGTTGACCTGGACATGTCTGGCAGGCCGTCTCGTCACAGGCCCAGGTCCGAAGATGGTGCAGCGTGCTGTACAAAGCGCTAGCCGCTAGCACCGGACACCACTGCCTCCGCGACAGACGGCAGGCCAGCTGCGGCGCTTAAAGCGACGAGCTGCTGCAGCTTGGCCTCGGCTCCATGCTTTCGATGGCCTTTCGAAGCGACGCAGTGGCCGCCCTCGAGCTGAGAAGGGTGCAGATGCCACTCCGGCCTGCAAGTCCTGAAAATCAGACAGCACAGGGCCCGCCCCGGGAGTGTCACAGAAGCTGCGCCACTTGCATGCGACACTGTTCACCGGCCTGCCCCCTGAGCTCAGGAGAGGCAAAAGCAGCACCGGTTATGGTGATGTTGTACGTGGCGTTGCACTGCGAGGGCAAGCACAAACAAGATGCACATGTCAAACCCACGTTGGTGGCTGTCATGCTCCGTTCATGCACTATGACGGAGGTGCAACAAGTTTGTGCCAAGCTCAAGAACTTTTCACACATGCAGAACTGCAGGAACCGTATACAAGAAAAACGAGATGTTCTTTTTCAGCTTCAAAGCAGGAAGAGCACGAGGAAGTATCCACATGCCTGGCAAGTCTTTGGAAGGAGTTTGCCTGAGACCACCCTTCAAGCTCCAGACTGGTTGCAAACTGCATCCAATTCCTTTAGCGGTTGAGGGACCTGCTGGCAGTCAAGACTGCGACCAGCTACCTGACCTTGCCCCCACAACATGCACAGGGCACGTGGATGGAAAGCCGCGTGCCCTGTCCGATCTGCGGTCTCTCGGGCATCCGTGAGGCCAGGCCTAAGCCGTGGCTGTCAAATGTTGGCTGCTTTAAGGCTTTGATCACGCTCTCGCAGTGTGCGATCCCTTTTGGTGCCGCATGGCGCTCTAGCTCATGTGGCAAAATGCTCCACGTCCGGCACACGTACTGGGAAGATGTGGCCACGAGAGACCATTCTGTGAGCCGTGTCCTTAGATCCCCGCCAGGAATGAGCTTCGTGCTGGGTAGAGGAGTCGCGCCGAAAATGCTTAATTCTCCTTACATGGTTGGTGGTCTGCGACAGGTGATGCCTGTAGGTAGCAGGGCCAAATCAAACATGAATCATGCTCGGACAGGATCGGACAGGGTTCCCGTTATTATTGGCCAAGGATCATCACCCACTTCACAAACGCACGAAAGCTGCTCTCCGCTCAGAGGAGCTGGTCTTAACCAGTCTAGCAAGACGAAGTCAGGGTTGTTGCGCGGAATGCTCTTCACGACCTGGCTGCGATTGAGAAGGCCGGCATGAGGCATTGCGTGTCCCAGCTTACTCTCACATCTAAAGTCTGAAATTACACTACTGTAGCGCGTCTCTCCTTTCTTTGCTGAATGTGCACTTGAGTTGCGTGTCAACCAACACCACCTGCGATTGTTTGGATGTGAAGCTCACAGCATCCTTTTCGACTGATATCTTTACTCATAAGTACTAAACAGAACCGATTCTCGCGCTTATCCACTGCAGAACAGGCTCCGCATCGTAGGTCGCCCCATCACCAGCCTTGTGTTTCAAAGCTCAGCCAAACGCCATCTATGCAACCACATGCTGTTTTTTCGCAAGTCCATTGGGGTGGGTGTCTTCCTTCCACCTCCTGGAGCTCCTGAGGCCCAAAGTGTTCAACCACCCGCAGACCTTTCCCGACACCTGATTCTGTTGGCTTCGCATGTTACGATAACGTTTAGCACTCCAACTCCCTTCCTGGAACCCACGGATGACCCCCACCACGACTGTAGTCCGATTGCAACTCCTTTCGCAACATCATCCTGTGGCCCTGTGCGCCACTCATTTGACGCCTTGCTGCTAAGCCCAAGGACAATCGCACAATCCTTGCATGGTGCCGTCAACTTAGTCGAGCGAGAATGTGGCAGTTTGAATGTGCCAATGCTCTGGGCAAGGTTCTCTACGAAGAGCAAGAAAAACTACATGTGGTCACATGTAGTTTTAGAACGCACTTCAGGCTCGTCGCCTCCCCGAACTCGCCGTGTCCAACCCACGGTTTTGGAGGGTCACACGCGTACCCCCGACTCGTCCCACTCCCTCTCGAACTCGGACAAGGGGATGGCAGCAGGATGTCGCATGTAAGCTGCAGGTGCGTGAACACGATTAGATTTGAACGCCGCGCGAGAAAGATTGAGAGAGAAGCACAGCCCAGCGTGACCAAGGTGCAAACATTTTCGGTCCAAGAGCAGCAAGTTACAGCAAGTTGTGTCAACATTTTGCATAGGAACACTGTGTTCTTGACAAGAGCTACACATGCGGAATAAAAACACCAAAAAAGGGACCCACCAGCCACATGTGAAGAAAAAGATTCGGCGGCAAACGAGCGATGCAGCCACAGGACAGAGATTCAGGCTTCCGGAACGTGAACTACTTTAACCTCCAAGACGGAGCAAACTGTGCGAACGAACATGAAGAGAGGAACACCATGCAGTACGGTCACTATGAAAGCCTGGAGAACAAACTAACTACAGCTTCAACGTGGCATCTCTTCAGCCAGCTGGCCCAGACTGCTCGCACTCGCATGCCCGGCAAGAGACGGAGGGCACGCTCGCCGGGCGACGAGAGATTTAGAGCAACTGGCTCTGAAATCCCCATGCCGTTTCTTGCCCGCACCTTGCAGCCACGCAAACGGGGGATGCTGGCCCGACGGAGAACAAGAGGGTGTGAGGGCCTCGAGCTTCAGCTCTTCTCCACTTGGAAGGCCATTCACCCAAAGTCGCTCACCGGGCCGTGCGAAAGCCAACGGCTCGCTGGTCGCTGCTCCCTGACACCACCCGGTCCCAGCAGGAAAAACAGGCTGACATGAAGCTCGGCCTGCATGAGCACCACGAAGTCTTCCTTATTATGACCACTGCAGCGGCAAGGGAAACATCGAAAGTTCAGCCGCTTCAAATGATGAGCAGTCTTGCTGCTGCTGTGCGTCCACGGGTTTGAAGTTTTCAATCGTGCCACTGAACGGGCTGGACCCTGTATTCAGTCGAAGGATGCATGTAAGCATCTCTGCCCCATAGCATCACGTGTCGGGTGCAGTGGCCTGGCTCTCTTGGAGAGAAGGCATCGCAGCTAACGGCCAGCTCGACATCGACCGTGCCAGGACCCGGTTCTTCCATTCTCCACCTTGCGCGGCAACTTCGGTGGCGTGCGACAGGAAACATACTTCAATGTGGAACCATACAGCAGTTCTGAAAAATTCAGTCATGCAGACTTCGGCTTGAAAAATGCAGTGCAGCGGGAGCCAGCTCAAAACAGCTCAGGCGAAGTATTTGCAAAACTACTCGTGCCCAAGTACCACACCGTCTTGCAATTCAGCTACCGAGAAAGCTTAAATCTGTCAGGATTGCCAAAACTCCCGATGCGCTTAAAGAGGTCGTTAGTAAGTAGACTGAACTAGACTCCACAGAAAAGTCAGATTCGCACACCTCCGGGACACCGAATTCACCCGTCCACCACATCGTGCGTGACCTTCACCGGAAAGCCCCTGGCTGCTGCCATCTTCTGCTTGTTGTTGTGCCTTCGTTACAGTAGCTGGTAGCCTAGCCCGTGCCAAAGCCAATATCCTCCCCGGTCAATGTGCCCACCTTGCCACGTCAATCGAAGCCACGGGATCGGGCGGCTCGACACCCAGCAGGGCCTGCCGGGATTGCAGCGACATCGCGAAAAAGCGAGCGATAGGCAAGTTCCATTGGCAAGTCTCAGGTCGCCTGAAGAGTGGCATTGCCAGTCAGGTCCTCACGTGCCACGAGGCTGGAAAAGTACCTTGGAAACCGGCTCTAAGAAGCTGACCACCAGAATCAAAATCTTGAACCTCGTCTATCTTGTAGCTTAGAAGCGTCTGGAAGGCTGCCACTCGCCTTGCCACAGGCTTCATCCATGTGTCAATGACTTGCCTAGTAACTCACAACGTCTCGGTCAAGACCAGACTTTAATTTAATGCATTTGGGAAATACTGCCGCTCGATTGGAAGAGATGCGGCCGTTTTAATTTGCGCAAAAAGTCTGGACCGGAACATCTTCGCCCCAAATCCAGCTCAAGCCATTCAGCGCTTTGGGCGGAAACTCCGGCAGGCTGCCGTGTGTGCCTTGCACACATCATGACTTGCCTAGCAAGGTGGAAAGCACGATCCAGTTGCGGGTGAGCCCTGCCTGCGGCCAGTCGTTCATGAAAGGCAAGGATCTCACGGTATCGGCGATGCACCTGCAACGTGCCAGTCTGGATCTTTTTTTTCGCTTCGGGACTCCATGGATTTGCCCGGGGCACAGCCGCTTTGCTTTCAGCAGCTTTGCTTGCAGCAGCCATTCCAAGAAAACAACTACCCGATTCGATTACGAACGAGGAACATCAAGATCCCCAAAGAGCGAAGGCCCACACCCCCACTCTGCGTACTTAATTGCAAGGCCAACACCTGCAGTCCAATCCATCTGAATGCTTTTGCTTGGAAACACAAGGCAGAACAAACCAATAAGCGGTGACCACAATAAACGCCGCGATGCCCCAGAAGCATGATGAATCATGCGCCCTGTGCATGGGAATGCTCTCCTGCTGCCTTCCAGGAGCAGCCGCTGGGCACGTGCACCACTTGAAAAGCATACCTCACGTGGCCTTAGTCAAGATCGAGGCGGCAGGATTGTAATGGAAAGAAGTCTGACGTGGGCGTTCCTCACTTGAGGTAGTCTCGAAGCCTTCGACACATAACTGCACGGACATATGCAGGCACGTAGCCCTCAGTCTCATCATAGCCGGTGCAGAAGACGGAGAAGTGCTTGTTCTCCATTCAGAGGCGACATTGCTGCTGCCTCGTGTTCCTGGTCCTTCTGATCAACACTGCAGTCCAATTTATATCCCCAACTTCGAGCAATCAGGTCCCCGACATGGGTCACGGTAGATCGTGAGTCATGCATGCAATACCGTGTGTGGCATGCTTGTGCCTACAAGTGCCATGACCCTAGTTCTGCTTGTTGCATTCTGTGCGCAACATGTACTCTATAGCGTGATCTAACTACTGCCTTCTCCGAAGCCTGACGGTCTCGAGACAAACGCTGCAACACCGCGCAGCTTCCAGGGAACGGACAACGCTACGATTTGTCTCTTGCTGCGAGGCTTGCTGCGACTCTTTCATGGAAGGAGCCAGATTCTTGCTTCTGGGATCCTGGCTAAATCCAGCCGCCGGAAACCTTGATCATGGGTTTGCTTGGTGTGCCTGTCTCCCCGTGGTATCTGGGTTGATGAATACTGATTCAGACACTTCGGCGGATGTCTATGCCGGCATACACACCGGAAGCGTCTGGCAGTCATGTGTGCTGCAGATGACTGGGCCAGGCGGCGTAGCCAAAGCTCGGGGTGACTCCACAGAGCAGGGCTCAGTCGCACCTCTGCCAAGTAGCACAACAATTGTGGTGTCCATAGCTTTCCGGCTCTCCGCCGAGGATGGAGTGTCTCATGCATTTCTGCATTTGAGGTGGGAACGGCCTTCCGAGCACAACGTCAGTTGCCAAACGTTGAAAGCCTGATCTGATCATGTCGGGATTGTGTCTCCAAATCAACCACAAAAACCACACGAGCAGGAGCTCGAAACTTTGGTCGAAGGATTCTGTGAACTCAGAGCACTGACTCGGCGGTCGCTGTATGCAATTGAGTGACTGAGAGCTCCTCTGGCACGGTAATTGGAATGCGGAAATCCTTGAGATGCCGAGATGCCAGACATGCAGTGCACAGAGTCTAGTTTGACGCTGCACAGTCACCTGCGCAAAGCTTAACCATTCCGAAGACTGCCACAAGCAAAAGGAAGCTCATCGTAGATTTTGACACCGATTTTGGACGAGGAGCAGCAAGAAACGGGTCACTTACATCCGGCTATCGGTCTCGCAGATATACCGCGACATGGACAGTTAAGCTTGCGCGACTATGCATGGCTACGGGCGTGCTACTTGCGGCTGCGCTGCATACTGACCCGGAGGCAAAGGCCGCGCCAGGTCTACGTGAATGAGTATGCGGTCTTCCTCAAGAACTGAATCGATTGCATCAACTGCATCCAGCATTGGTTTTATACACATCGGCAGCACTGATGCAACCGCTTTCTGGAGTAAGCTTCAGACCTTTCTGATGTCTGCCCAAGAAGTCGCGCCGTGGCTGCGTGACAGTGGAAAACTTGGGTTCAGTATTTCGATGCCTTGTGGCGTCTCTAACCTGGGTCCCGCCACGAGAAAACAGCTAGCACAAGTGTGTTGGCATGCAGCTTGTGTCGCTCAGAGTCACGCGAATGCTCGAAATTTTCAGCCAGTGTAAGAAGAACCTCCGTGCCACAGCGATTCAAGGATGATGCGCCGCCAGATTGTAAGGGCTCGGGCCGACTCAACCAAATCGCGCTTCACTTGTTGCCGCACCTCGAAGCCTCTCACAGGATGCTTGTTTCCGTTATTGGGAACGCGAGTGCAATCCAAGCTCCAGGCCCATCACTACACTGCTCGCTTGCCCAGCTTCGGCCGCCTGGACCACTCTTTCTTCTGACTCTTGCGAAAGCCTTAGCCTTGAAGGATCGGAGAGAGGGTCCTAAAGTGCAACAAACTAACTCTCTTTCTTTCCCAAATCTCTCACACTCTCTCGAAGCATCAGCTACGTTCAGGCTTACAAGACGCAACTAGCTGCCTTCACCCTTGCCACAAAGCCGAACACTAGGCGGCTGGATTTGAAACCCTACCCGTGCTGGACAAGGAAACCTAGCGGTCTCGGACACGCTCGGACAATCCTAAATTTCAGAGTCGCCCCTACTTTCCTACGCTGTAGTCAGTATGGTCCACGGCTAGCGACTCGAGTGTTGTGCCACATGACCGGGCTCCCGGCGGTCCACCTCAGGGGACGAGGGTCCACGTGCAGCTCGCTTTGTAACTGCTGGCCTCAGCACGTGCGTCACCTGTTTGGCGGCTAGCCTCGAGCTACCGGTATGTGGATGTACGTGGGAGATCTCAGCCCTCGGACCCTTCACCACCGTGGTCGCATCCTGCACCAGGCCACTAGGACCTGACGTATGTTGCATGCAAGGGCACGCATCATCCGCGCGATCCGTTGCAGGATAAGGCAGAGACCAAACACCAGCAGCGAAAACATGTTCGTCTTCGGAGCGACAGGGGGCCTCGGATGGTTCCTCTTCTCTTGGGATTGTTCTGCTGATGCCTGTGATGACCCTCGTTCTTTCTGAGCCACAGACACCTGCGCCCCAACGCCCTTGCGAAGCCATGCTTGCAGCTGCATCGCATCTTCTGCACGCATGAAAAAAGATGCTGTGGCCATGGCGAATGCATACGTGCCCGGTACAAGCCCAGAAGATAAGCGCCTCAGAAAGAGGGGCTTACACACCGGCGTAGGTGCCCATACGACTTGGGGTCGCGCAACACCAGAGATCCTGCCTCCGCTGTACAACCTGCTTGATTTCAGCAGCGCTTGCATGCGTCCTTTCGTCGTGCTTCGCCATGTCAGGCCTTCGATAGGCAGTGAGATCTCTTGGAGCTGCGGTCCTATCAGCAACGAATGCACAACACCCTTTAAGATTCCGTGGGTGAGCATGGGGAGCGAGGATTTATTTTGTCTATTTGTCTAGTTTTTTTGTATATTTTCCTGGTTTGATTCCTGTTTTCCTTGGTTTTCGGAATCTAGCCTGGTGGCCGTGACCGTTAGCCGCCTGTGACTGGAATTCTTTTTTGTGTATTTTTCTGTCTTTTCTTGTGGATTTTTCGGTGTCAAAGCTTCCCAGGCCTCTCCGCTCGTCTCGCGGCAGCTGCGGGACTGTTAGAAGCTCTTGCCACAATGCTGCTGTCTCATACTCCTTTTTTTTAAACCGCGCGCTTGTTGCATCTGCGAAGCTTCTGGACTAAAACGACGATGAAATGCGCCACCATGACTGTGTAGATTCAGCTTATCCCACGACCAACAGCACCCCTGGAACCGATGAGAAGCAAGACTGCAATATGATGACTACTACATGCACTTTCCTACTTGTATACATTTCATGCTGCTAAGCACAGGGACTCCGGGACGCTACATTTTCTCAGCGGATCTGCTCCAGCGGCTCGAAGAGACTTCCGCCGAGCTACCTGGGATTCGCCAACAAAACCTAATCGGAAAACGTGTCTTGTCCAGGTCGAACAGTGCGAGGTTGGCGTCTGCTTGCATGATGCACACTACACATGACATGCTGCGTACGTTTAAGCACATCTGACAACTTGCTGCCTGGGCGGCTTGGACTGTTGCCGAGCAACGTCCAACAGAGCGGCGATGGTCGTCACACGGGCATCCTAAATGATTTCTAGTTCTGTACTGGAGCGATAACACGCAGTTACACATGCTCTGATAATCAGCCCTCATAGCTATTATGGCGGCGCCAGACGAATTGGACTATGCTTCGACGTCCGTTCGCATCTTTTCTTCTGTACTGGAGCGCTTATACATGCATTGCACAAGCGATTAACAGAGAAACCAACGTGGCTGCAGTCAGGTGGCTGCCTTCACGCCAAAATGGCTTGCTAGGGATCGCAATGTGCGGAAATTGCCGGCGCCGGCGGCTGCGGCAGATGCAGATCCGCGAGCGTGCCTGGGCATGTCCCAAAGAATGTCGTGTGAGAGGGAGGCCAGCAAGGCCTGGTCCTCTGCTGTTCGGGCTGGTGCCTGCCCTCCTGGTCCTTCTTCCGCAATTGGTCATGACTTGCGAGGTCAGGACTGGGGCTGACCTTTTCGATCTTTTCGCAGCGACTTGAGGGCGGAGGGCAGTGACTGCTGCTGCGGGTGCTGGCTTTAGCTGTCGTAGGCTTTGTCTTCAGTCCCGCCTGCTGCGGATGAAGCAGCTCCAGCAACTTGAGAGCCTGGGGCAATGAAAACCTCGCCTCTTGGCGCAAGTGGCGTTCGCTGAGCAGCTTTACATCGTCTAGGCTGAGGACACCAAGAGCCTGCAAGCGGCTCGCCTGGACCGGCACCACAGCTTCTGAGCACACGGCCGACCAGATCAGCAGCTCCTCTGGTATGGAGCATGGGCCAGGAGAAGTGCTCGAGGCGGGTGCATTAATGCCAAGACCCGGGACGGTGCGATCCTCGGGTTTGTCGCACCGCGGAACGGCCGTGCCAGGCGGTCTGCCAGGTTTTTTCCGCGGCGCCATGCAAACCTTGCTGCTAAGCTGCGGTTGCTGCAAGTGCAGAAAGGCGGCATACAAATGCTCGCAAGGCCCATATGGAGAGCAGCTTCGTGACACGAGCAGAAACCTTTGCAGTGGAGGGGAGGTTTTCCACCCTCCCGCCCTCTCGCCTGGAATGCTCCTCCAGTAGAGTTCGGCGCGGGGTCCGACTGCAACCAGGGTCCACCGCCCGAAAAGTTCCTTGGTTCGGGGAGATCTGAGCTGCTCCGCGTTCGCCGGTCGTGAGGCCAAGCGACTGCAGGGCGGACCGGAAGCCAGCTTCATCTGTGGCGCTGAAGACAGCCGCCATAAGGCGAACGGTGTCCGGAGGCAAAGGCTTTCAGCACGGCGGACATATACTTCGACACTTTGGGCGTGCTGGCTGCTTCGTCCTTCTTCAACAAAGACCGCGGAAACAAAAACCACGAAAGTTTGCAACGGAGACTGCGCGAGCAAGGTCTGTGCACATGTGCGCCCATGAACCCCGAGCGCAGCATCGTCAGGTCTACGCTCGAGTCCGAGCCAGGCCGGTCATGCAAGACCGGGTTCTCGGTGCGCAAGTATTGCAGCCTAGAGCGCGCGATTGTCTGCAGATCCTCTGCCAGCGCATCCGGTGTACGGATGGTGTGGCCGTCCGTGACACGTTTCAGAACATGCTTGTGCCAACTTTCCTGCGGTGCACTGCCGCAAGCGCTGCCAGGCTGTAGCCGGTCATAGGACGCCCGCCAACGGGCTGTGAAGCCAGGCCCCCACAGCAGCTGGGCTCGTGGCTTCTGCTTTGTTTTCAGCTTCGCGTTGCGCCGCTTGGCCCAGCCCAGCAGAAACGACTGCTTGGGCGGACTAGGCAGCAGGCTTCCAGGACCTGCCGCCCGGGGTTGCACAAGATGTCATACGCATCACCGCCACGTAAACCTCCCGGCTGCGATTGCAAAAGTCGCAACTGGGCTGTGCTGAGGCCGCTTGCTGTTTTGTGCACTTTGGCCGCATGCATCTCAGGATGATCCATGGACACTGTGCACCGCCGCCTGTTTCATGGCTATTGCATCGAAACCCACAGCAAAGCCGCATCGTGTTTTTAAGAGTATGCAAGCGGGCTTGGACCCGGATGACATCCCGCAGAGGCCTCTCCAAGAAGAGTTTTTTGATTTGCTGCTGTAGGCCCTTTCCTGACCACGCCTCTCCGCCATGTTTCCAGGCACCAAGGAACTCGCTGAAGCGCTTTAGGGGCTTTGGGCGTTAAGAATTTGAACAGGTTCCCTGATAAAGCCTCACTCTGATAAGGTACCCTCAGGATAACAAGGAACATGCGAGTTATCCAAGTCTTCTATATTATTGCTTAAGGATTATTCATTCATCTATTTGCTGTGTACTGATTTGTTGGCTCTTCTGTATGGCGCGGAAAGTTCTTTGGGTGATTTGGTCAGGTAGGTATCGTTCGTGTTGTTATTCGACTTTGCTTCTTGTTCATGTGTTACCATGTCCTTTGTTTTCTTCTAGGTGTGGGGGCGGTGAGGGCACATGTTATTGGCGCAGCGTTGAGGCTAAATCTGTCTTGTCAGCTGCTTGCAGGGATCTTTAGCAGCTGCGCGCCTTTCAAACGTGGCTTTCCGTGGCTCCTGTATGTTTCGTCCTTGCAAGGGCTTCATAGGGATGCTGCGTGTCTTCTGTACATGGGTTTAGGGCTTAGGGACCGTAGTTAGTAGTTGTCGTTTAAAGTTCGCTACTACCTTGACATTGCTGCTGTAGCAATACTCCTATGTGGTGTGTTCCGGGCCAGCATGTTTTACCTGAACAGGACGTCAGCTTTGTTTGATTTGGTTTAGATAGGGTGGGCCTTCCGAAATCTGTCGTGGTCTCTGCTGGAAAGAATAAACATCGCATGTTGGTTGCTTGGGTGCTCTAGCGAGTTTCCTCCATTTGGGGCTATGATGGAATTTGGGAGGCATTGCGCTTTCGCCCAGCCTTGCTTGGTGCTTCTCGGGGCTCTCCGTGCTCTGAAGACTTTGAAACCCACACCTTGACTTCCCGCTTGTCCTCTCTATGTAAACGGCAAAACCCTTCCAGGCACATGTTTTGGGCTTGCAGTCTTGGCACCGAAGTTTGTAAAAATATACAGAACAAAACCAGAAAAATTGACAAACACAATACGGTACCCAGAGCATGGCATTGGGGTGACCGACCACACAGAAAATGTCCTGAACAGTTGAGAACGAACTCCGGTGGATTGAGTAACCTCGCAGTCGCTCTTTATGCCGGTATCTCATGTGGTCTTCCCCGAATCTGGCCGAGGGGAAGACTGCAGGATCCCCCCCGGTAGCAGCTCGTCGCGTAGCCGCAACCTCCAGCAGAGCTGGCGGTCTGGGCCCTTCTGTGGTTGCTTGGCAGAGTCATCTGGATGTCACTGGCCTTACCACCAACTCTGATCTTGTGTCAGGAGAAGCGGGGTAAATCACAGCCACCTCTTCCACGACAAGGCGGGTGCAACACACAGAAAAGCACCGAAGTGTACACATATCTCTGCATGACAATTTATAGTGAGGGTGGTGCGCTGCGCATCTGCACCACACCAATGCCCAACTTGTCCTTGCTTGCCAGCGACATGGCGTGACAGTCACGACGAATTAGACAAGGAATAATTCTGATGTGATGTTTCTGGCGCCTCGCCCCAGCCAACCACTTCGCCTGCTCTCTCGGTCTACCATCGAAGCATCTCGACAGCACGTAGTGCAGCTGTGATTCGACGTTTCCGCTATGCGGCTGTTAAGAGGCAATCGCTGTGCAACTCTTAGTGATGTCTTCACCAGATTGCTACATTCTACAGGAACTGTGCCGGCTGTCCGATCGCAGCCTTCGGTCCACCCAACCAGGAGCCATGTAGACGAAGGTAAAGCTGCCGCAGGTGTACGAACCTGAACAGAGACGTCGCCGTGAACAGGCTTTACTTTCGGGTCGTCCCGGTGCCTGGAGGCTAAGCTCTTGCAGGTCTGTGAAGAATGCCTTGATTGGAACCAGCTCCGCTGCCTCCTGCGAGATGCAAAGACTTTGGGCTTGATACCTCAAAAGCGTCATCCGGTGGGACTCACCCCTGAACAGTGCATCTCAAATCGACGAGCTGGCCTGTTCATTCACCTGAGTTGGCGAGCAGCGAGCCACCACATCCTTAAACATATTTGCAGCATGACCGGGGCGAGGAAAAGGGCAAAGCTGATCGCAGCCATAGAAAATGCAACGATTTGTGCACGTCGGTGAGCAAACCACAAGAGCTTCCACTGAGGAGATCGCACTGGGTCCGCTCAGGCAGTTTTCGGTGAAGCGGAAGCCTGCCGGTGCCACCTGAGCCCGACCCAAGACAACAGGGGCTGCCGCATGGTTGCTATAGCAAAGCTCAAGCTCGCGGTGCCGCGCTGCCTCGCGGTCAATCTTTCCATGTTAATGGTTTTTATGATCCGTATCCACATGCTATTGAGCAGCAGAGTGGCTAGGGTTAATCGCGTCGGCGATGATGCATGCAACGACACGGCCAACTCGATGGCGACAACAGCAAGTGGCGGACTCCTGGAACGAGGCAGCCAGCAAACACTTCATGAGGCAATAGCTTGGTGAAGCTCAGGGCAAGTGCATCTCAAGCTGCAACGTCTTGTCTACTAGCGTTAGTTATAGCTATGCTCACAAGACTTGTGCATCAACATCTCAGATTAGCTTTCAGGCTCTGTGCAAGCGATGCAGACCGCAAAATCAGAGTTGCCTTCGGATGCAGGGCCATCATGGCATATAGCTAATGTGAAGGCTGTGTGCTCGGTCCTCACGGCAGTTATTTCAACCTCAGAAGACAGACTTGGCACAATACCCGCAAGAAAGTCAAAGCTTGCTAAAGGCTACCCGACTTCCCTGAAGCAAAACGACAGCTTGGCCCTGCACTTCGTAGCACGGCACAAAATGCACCGTTCCCTGGCAAGGCAAGTCGCAAGCCGCATTGCTGCGATAGTGTGATCTCCGGCTTTGCGCCTCTGCTGAGCCGAGACTACTAGGAAGACCTGCTCCCAGGACCTGGCAAAGAGCAGAGACCGGGCGTGGGACTCCGCTCTCTCAGTCGTGCCTCGAAGCCCCAGAACACACCTGCCCGCATGTGCCCTCAAGCACCACAGCAGACCCCCGACAGCTTTGGAAATTAAGGAACCGGCGCCGTGGCAGGGTAGCAGGAGCCAGGACAGTCGCAGTTGCTCGATACCAGATGTCTCGCTGCAAACCTGCATGAACAAATTGAACGCCTACCCCTACCCCAAGTATTCTTAAGGCCAACGGCACCTTGCCCGCCCAGGGTCTCGAAAGAAACTCCATCGTCTGTCTTGCTGGAAGACATTGGAACACTCGTGCCTGCAAGGCAGAAGCACACACACACATGACCATGTACGACAGGTCAATAGATGAGTTCGCAGTCAAATCCCTTGACTGCTTGCCTGTGTCCACAACGACCAAGCGGAAGTTGCCCTGCAAGCGCGTAGGAACAGCTACAGCAGTGCTCCAGGGGCACCAACTGATGACACGAGACTTCCTGCTCTTTATCGTAGGATGGCGGTCGGCCCGGCCGGATCCAGCAACAACTAATGACTACGCGGATCTTCTGAAGGAAAGCCAGGAGTTGTTCAGATCCTGGCAGCACACGCCTGCAGCATGACGAAAGGCTTGCCCGAAATGCGCAGCGTCTCGAATGGGTTCGCGTTTTCCAGAAACCTCACCTCAATGATGCAGGTGCTTCATAGCGGGCAAGTCTGTCGGGCGCAATGAGGGGCAAACACCGCTTTCTAGACTAGATGTACGTAGAAACTCAGGGGTCAGGCATGGGGTCAGGCAAATGGCACGTGCTATTCGGCAGGGCTGCTAGGGCCAAGGGGATACCCGATGGAAGCCAAGCAGGTCCAGCCAATATCGCACATCCAACTGATTGATTCCAAGCTGCCTCAATCTCCAGCACGGTGCGACCACCCAGCTGTGCCGGCCACTGTGACCTGAATGACGACCACGGCCAGACTACAGATTTATGACCGATCCATACCCGCTTGAAAAAAAGCCGCAAGACTTGCAGCCCTGGCACTGCGTGAGGTTTGGTGCGTACTCATTGCGGAGCTGCAGAGATCGGAGCTCGATGTGGCCTGCGCAGGAGGTGATCAGCTGTTATGCGAGGGCCTTTGCAATTCCAAGTTCCACTCGGCATGTGCAGGGGCGTGTATGGGCCTGGAATCTGGCTGCCACTGTCGATGCTGTGCTTTCTGGCCTTGGCAAGAGAAGACGCAAGATGACAAAACAAAAGGCGGAGACTTGGCGGACTCAAACTATCCGCTTGGCTTCAAGCGATTCGGCTGCCTGTGCCTGAAAGAAGCAGTGAAAGCAAGATCGACAACAGACAAAGATGGCGGTCAGCCAAGAAACGGTTGCGAATCTCCAAGTCGAAGATAATCCGCCCACCATGTTTTGGCAAACGAGCATTGTAAATGCGAAGACCAACATGATCACCATCCTGCATGCCACTCTGCTGATCACAAAAGCCACTTATGGGCCGGAGAATGCCGAGCGTGCCTTCATGTTCAAACTCACGAGCAGGACCGAGTTGATCTCTGACCCTGACGACGACACCGCAAACAAGGACCATCAAGCCATGTCAACTGCATCCAGAACCTTCATGTGACATGTGCTCTGCCTGCAGAAACCTACGCCACTGCGCAGAAACAGTCTGTGTCAAGTTGTGCTATGACGGTTGGAGGCGGTACAAGTCGTTGCTCTCTCTCTCTCTCTCTATATATATATATATGATATATATATATATATATGATATATGATATATGTATATATTCCAGAAGATGTATTGCACCATATCGCCTTTCACATTGTCAGTGCGTCAAAGGTCCCTTGACTAGGTCGAGCGCAGTGCCCTCAATGGAGACAAGGTGCGGAGAATCTGCCCACGGCTGATGGACACATTGGTGAAGTCGATTTGCATGGGCCCAGTCCTGATAAAAGCTAGTCTCGTTGGAACAAGCTTGCTTTGCTCGACTGAGCCGATCTAGACTACAGACCGCACGACTGCGCTGAACAACATCGCATTCCGCCTGAGCCCCCTTAAGGCATTTGCAGGCCGTGGCGTGATGCATCGCTTTTCCAAGCTTTAATTTTCATGACAACCGAGACCACGACGGCTGAAGTCGTAGCACTTCTGCATCTCCCTCTGCTTTGAATCGCACCTGTGTCACGTTCTGTCCACGCATACCCACATGGACACTCACCTCTATTCTCAAGATTTCTCAGGAGGCACTCCCAGTCAACTTCCAGCAGTTGCATTTGCAGCACAAGCGTGTGCTAAACTTGCAGCAAGACTTGGGGCCCGGCATCGACCACAGCATAGCCTCTTAGCCAACTCTGGTTTTGGAAGTTTCTAGGGGGAGCGTCGGTGAATGGAATGACATTCCTGTCGCCAGTGAGCACGGCCCCTTGAATGGCATTGGTTTGGCTTTGTCCGGGTGCATACTTCTTGCGGAAGAGGTGCAACCCGCGGGTGTAACAACGTGAACGAAACTCGAGGCCCACACGCTGGCCAACCGCCGCCGAGGCCTAGAGTCGGGCGACTTGTCCCGGTGCTCTTGACATAGGGACGTGCAGTCTGTGTGCCACTGTTCTGCCGTTCTGCCAACGGGTCTCGGGCCAGCGTGATCACGGCCTCTGACAACTGGAGGAAGACCTGGCCCGGTCTGACCCGCACTCATCGACCATCGAATCAAGACACGCATCCTGACGCTGCTTGCGTCCTGCTCTCAACAGATCCTACATGACACACAGCCCTTCTTTGCGCCAAGCCTCCCAGGTGCGCCAGGCTCCACCTGCTAGCACTTCTCCTCGTCGCAAATGCCCCACCTTCCGGGTCCAGGCTCTCTCGGCCACTCCCTATAAGGTAAAGCACTGCCGACGCAGTACTCAGGACCTGGGCTTTCTGTCTGCTTGCGAAAAAACTCTTGAAAGCCGGTGCCTGCCAGTACTGCTCCCCAAAGATCCTGTCCACGCAGTTTCAAAAACCCCTGCCGTTCTGAGAGGGTGAGGACGGCCCGATGCACGCGGCTGCAAGATGCTGCTACTGCAGCCGTCTTCATGACTTCCTTGTCCCAACGAGACCCCTTTGAAGTGATGGCACCTTCGCGGGTTTGCCGTCATCAGCCGCAAGGTTAGTCTCTCTCCGGCCGGAAGCTGCTCCTGTAAAGGTGCAAAGCCGAATTGTCGAGGCTGCCGTGGTTGCGGACTCCTCCCCGTGCATCTGAAACTCCATCACTTCGCCAGGCTCCCCAGCTGTGCAGCTCACTTCCTTGGAAAGCAAGAAAAAACAGGACCTCTTGCATTCAACCCACATGCTCGGGCCTGGGCAACATGTGCGGGCATCTTGGCACTGGTCCAGTCCGGCGTCAAGCCTGCAGTTTCCACCACCTACATCATGTTGAATAGGGCAAGAAATGGACGCTGCGGTTTGCAGTCAAGCAGCCTGCCAGAGGTCCTTGTAGCCACCCAGTTTCAGAGCACTCTGTCCTGGGCATTGTTACCGAAGCAAAGGAACGTGGACGTAGCCGCGGCGTGTCGGCTCCGACCCCTACCTGTATCCAGAAGGCAGCTTGATCTGCAGGGTATCGCCAGGCAAGACCTTCCCATGCATGCAGCTCTCGTGGAAGGCTCGCCAAGCTCCAGCGCATTTCTGTTCTGAGGCTTATGCAGTGTGGGCGAACGCCACGGACAGCAGCAGGTCTGGCAGAAAGGCTTCTGCATCCTGGCTGCTGTCACTTCGCATGCTGCTTGGGCACGATGAGATGTCGTGTGATGACGGAACTGCCTGACTCGGCATCACAAAAGGATCCGCACTGCTGGGATCGTACCTGGAGCTGACTGCACCGTTCTGCGAGGCAGAGAAAATGCGACACGTCTCCTCCAGCCCCTCGAAGAGCGGGCCTTCCAATCGCCAGGTGCGCAAGCGGCTCGCACAGCCGGAAGCTCGTAACCTGCAACGACCGATTCTGCTTGACGGCAGGTACGAGTTTTTCCCTCTCGCATGGCTGAGAACTATGCTCACAGGCGAGGTTGTCTAAAGGGCACGAGTAGGGAGTAGGGATGAGTAGGGAGTGACCAGAGCAGCTAGGGCATGCCATGTGGACGCTCACGCTCGGACCAGTTGTGAGAGCCCTGTGATATCTTAATGTTGAAGCCTGGCCAACATCCAGCTTCACCCCAGAAGCGATGTCGTCGAAGGATCTCGGTCGGATCGCACTCTGAGGGGTGAACGCCCAAGTGCCTAAAGCGCCTATGACATAAAGGCCTGTCACGGATGGCCCGGCATCCAAAGTTCATGCCAAGCGGCTCAAGCTTCCAGGAAGCCTCAGGTCGATCCGACGCCGAAGCGACCTTTGCGCTTGGACATGAGTGGCTCTCAGCGACTCAGCATCCTCGAGCCGTTTTGGGTTCTACTGTAAGGCCTCTGTGGGAAGGGGGGAAAATCCGTGTGACCGCAGGGGTTGTCCGTGAAAGACTTCTCAGACTTACAGGCAGCGTGCATCAGGAAAAGTCCCACCAAGGATGACTATGATGGCAAGTGGCGAAGCGCAGCCCCAAGTGGTACATCTGACCTCCGACGAGCTTGGTGGAGACTTCCCGGAGTTTGATCACAAGCACGCTTGCGGCCTGTCAGCTATGTTCACAGCTGAAGGCAGAAACTGCGTACACACGCACAGGTGGTTGAGAGGCTTCTGTGGCAGGCCTGCAGTTCGCAATCGCACTCTTCGCTCCTCGGATGCCGCGTTCCCGCCGGAAGCCACTAAACCAACTTTGGCAAAGCTTGTGCAAACCTGTCTCCGAGGTTGCTGCGAAGGCTGTGAGCACACTTCCGTGCTGCCCTCGTCAACCTACTGCATCAGCTGAAAACAACGCGGATAAGAAGCCACGGCCGTGACATGCTCTCCGCAGAAAGGAGTTTTTCATATAACCATGTTTACACCTTTCATATCGCAAAGTGAAGTACGCCATGGCCTCAACTTCGAAGTGAGAGAGCACTTCGCAGCTTCCGCTGCCGTTGACAAACGTGAAGCCAGGAGGAGCATGGACAAGAAGTGCGGACGCGTGCCCTGCACAGGCCAACAACAACTGTAATCCGCGCTTGCACCGGCCTGTTCAGGAAGATCTCTCGTGACAAGCAACAAAATCCTGGAGTGATGCTGACTAGGTGACTAGCTAGGGAGCATAAGTGGGATCATGACATGCCTTGCCTTCAGGGGATAGGCTTGTCTCTGGTTGGAAGGTCAAGTTGGCCTGATAGCTGCAGCCAAATGTGGACCCTAAAGCATGAAAACAAGTCTTGGAGACTTCAGATCCGAAGTGGAAGTCGTCGTCTCTGAACTCTGGGGGCGGGGCCACGTTCGCTTGCTTGTTCGGCCAAACAAAGCCCGTGGCCTTGTCGAAATCAGTGCGGAGCAGGGAAGACTCTGACGGCACCGTCTGGCAATGATTCTGCAAGCTAGTTGGCCCCCTGCACAGGTGAGAGGCTCCACTTCCTTAGACAAGCTCTTACGCATTCTGCTGGGCCCTTGGTGGCATCCTGTGACATTAGAGTTTTGCACTGCGTGCACCCTTTTCTGCTTTTCTGACATAAGAGAGCAACCGGTCGGTCCCTGGATTTCTGATCTGGTGAGGCTTACCACGACACCATGGGCTGCCACAGTGTAGAGAGCCCTTCTGTGCTGCACTGAAAGGCATCTTGGAAGATTACTCTCCGATGCTGGCAAAGCTGCCGAGGCCTGCATTCGTGCTTTTGGAGCGCCTCTCAAAGGCTCGGCTCAGCATTCCAGCTCAAGGTCGACCTCAACCATTTTCGGCGCGGCCGCGCTCGTGGAATCTTGCATCTGCTCGTCGCTGCAAACTTGCAGATCTTTGTCCTCTGTCTTTTCCTCACTTTCGGCATCGCTTTCCAGTTGAAGTGGAGACATCGGCGCCACCTGCGCTAGTGGATCTAAGGCCACAAGTGGCCTCAAGTCTGGAGTAACAGGGTTGTCCGGCTGAAAGCTCCTTCGCCGTGTGGCAAAAAGCTCCTCCCTCCTGCTCTTTCGGAGTTTTGCTCTGCGACGGTTCTCGCGAAGCAGCTGCTTCTCCTGATGTCGCAAAACCTCCAGACAGCACTGCAGGTGATACTCCACACCGAGATGATATTTCATTGTGCGCTCGTGCTCCTTCTTCTTCTGCTTGGCATCCATAATTTGGGCTGATCGCCTGGCTGACAGACCTTGTGCCATGCTTCTGAGGACTACGACTGACCTCGGACGAAAGCCCTGAGCCAACGAGCCTGGTGCATTGCCAGATAAAGCAGACAATCTTCACTATGTCGCTATGCAGGGCGCACTCAGGCCGTTTGAACTGGACATGCGGACAGGTGCTAGTTCATCAGTCCAGAATGAGTTCTCAAGCCATGCGACGAGCAGTCGGAAGGTCTGCACGGAGAAGCCGCGAAATGGAGATGACACTTCCCCCTCCACCTGCTTGATTGAAAAGTCTGTTTGAGAAGTGAGACTGAACAATAACTCGGCACTGCACAAGCTAGCCTCCAAAGACCACAAGTTTCGGCTCGGTGTGCGAGGCGGATTGGTCAACACCTGCATCGGGGACCGCAAATACAGAAAGGGTACTAGGCCCCGATGCGGGCTATTTGTCATTTGTACCCGTCCAGATTCGCAGGCAAACTCGCTTGTTGTCGCACTGTTTGATTCGCCTAGAAACCTACAGACAAAATCATCAAACCTCGAAGTTATCTTATGAGACATCCGATCCGCCACCTACCGCGGAAGTCGGCTGTCCAGGCAAGGGCCCAAGGAGATTTTTAGTTGATGAGGGTGGTACACGATCCTACTTCAGTTTCTCTATCGCGTACAAGAAGTGCACTGCTAACACTGGAACTTCTGAAATGCAAGCCAATTGAGGCATCAACAAATCCAAGCTTACGCTGCAGATGCAGAGGTCTCAGTCGCGGGTTGCCTTCACGCCAAAGGCATACAGAAGTCCGGCCTCTGCACTTAAGCGACCGTGTCAAGTCAAGATTAAAGTGAAGCAGGGCGAACATCCCATTGACAACCGGCCTTGAAACCCGGGGAGATCGCTGTAAGCCTCGCAGTACTGAGCTCTGCCTGACAACTGCAGAGATTAACGCTTAAAGCATGTCTCAGGGCCAGCATTGCATGCACGGTGTGCAGCTGGTCCTCGCAGCTCTGCACGGGTGCGCCTCAACACTTGGCTTGCATGACGGAATGCAACTACGACTACGAGCTACTGAGCTACTGGTTGCAGCAAGCACTGCCAGGACTTCGATGCTTCAGGACGGACAACACCGCCCCGCACGAGACATGCGGCTGATGACGTGCCGTGGCCATCAGCACTGCAGATTTACGACCTGGGTTCCCCGCGAACGGCCGTGGCTGCAGCGATGTCCAGAGTTTCCACGAAACAGTCCTGTCCCGTCCCCACCGTGCGAGATGCAGGACTGTCACAGCATGTTCATGAACAGTGTGCGAAACGAGCTCTTGCATGAGTCTGTGCACAAGCTGCGGCCCCGAAGCAACTACCAGGGATCACCTGCTTCAGAACGAAGCCAGCGGGTCCACGGAGGGAAATAGCCTCAGGACAAGAAGCAGGAGCCCCTATGAAACTCAGCAAGCTTGTTGCTTTGACGCCACAACATGGCACATTCTGCGTGCTTTATCTAAGTATGCTTGACCTTGGCCCCGGACCCTGTCGTTTCGGGCACCTGTTTAGCTTGGGCTACTATGGCGTCATTGAAGCATGGCTGTGTCTGCTTCTTTCCGTCAGCGGGATGGAACATCTGATTCACTAGCAGTGCAACTCACGTATGTGGTGATCTGGTGCGGCCTGTGCTGTTCACATCTCGTAACAGGCGGAAGACGAAGGTGAGGCTGTTGCTTTCCAGCGGCCTGTCGCTCAGCAACATAGCAAAGGAATTGCTGTGGGCTCCTCGCCTGTCGTTGCGGCCCATGGTTGGCAGCAGCCTGGCCTGCAGGTCGAAGTGGTGACACATCGCAAATCCCTTGGCCATGCCGAATCCTTCTCCAATTTCAACACCTAACCTTTCATCGCCCTTTAGGCTTCCACGAGCCTTTTGAAAGGCTCGTTGTCCAGGTATGTCTTCCCCGCCTCTGGCATGGCATCCCCCTTGTGGTGTCCAGGCGAGATGCTCCGCCAGTCCAGCTCGATCTGAGGCTCTGCGTTTGCATTGGCCTCAGGACCAGAGCCACCAGAGCCCAAGCGATTCTGGCATATGTGCAGGCGAACCGGGGAACCGGGACCGGAGCCACACTGAGAAAAGTCCAGCAATGATGGCCTCTGAAGAGAAAGCATTGCCAATGTGAGAGCGTGGGTTCATTAAGCCAAGAGCTACTTGAGCATCTGTCTTCTCTTCCTTCTGCTCTGGCCTGGAAGCATGCGCTCAGACCGTCTGAACGATGTCAGAGCAACACAAGTCCATTCTTTTTTCAAAACTGAGGCTAGCACTACTGCATTCCTGCCAGCCACCTATGCGCACAAGCCGACACATCGTGCTGATTCTGCAACCATTTGTATATCAACGGGCTTGCTGCCCAAGCCTTGCTGGGCAACTGTGCGCGCCTCGAAACGGTAAAGTCCGGCAGGGATACCAGCTGCCCCAGCGAGAACCAGCAAGTCGATCTAACAGTCACCAGCTTCGCGGGATGATTGCATGCGACCTGTTTCTTGCAAAGGCTTCGCAGAATGAAGCACCTGCTGGTGGTTGACCTGAGACCCCGCCGCTGCAGCTGGAAATGGCCTTCACACTGCAGTGGCAGCCGATGTTATCAGGTGACAATTGAACCATGTGTCCACACATGTTGAAGACAGGCTTGGGATGGTCGGCTCTGCTGCTGTATTTCGCGGCGCACTCTCGGATCGGAGGCGAGGTTCTTGGTGCTTGCTCGATTGGAGGTCGTTGCCTCAGTGTGCTGTCATTGCGAACCTCGGTCTTCCACGAATTCATACTCGAGGATTCGTTTTCGCATGCATCTAGGAATCATTTCCAGGTCCTGAAGCTAGTTTGTATCAGGGATTCCTTAGCAGTGTGTTCACGAGTGGAGAAGACATCTCCTGCAGGGTGCCTGCTTGGAATCCACGGTGATGCTATCGTTCCGGAGCTTCGGACTTACCGGCTCAAAACACTCGGTTGTTCTGCAGAAGCGAGAGGATGCAGCCACAAGGAGTGCATACTCCCAATGCTACCAAAACACTCCAATAGATGCAAAGGTAGCACCGGTTCAGCACTCAAACTCTGCACGCCGAGCAGCCAACACTAGAAAACACACTTTACGAGTGCAATTAAACCCTGAGCGCCTTGCTCCCTTCAAAAGGTGTGGCAGAAGGACCAACTGATCACGAAACTGACAGTAGCAACCGGATTCTACAAACGAATTTGAACTAGCACTGAACCTCGAAAGTCTTTCAGCGGCTTGCCTTGTGATGCAAGACACATTGTTGGGCAGCTGCTGCGGAACACGCGCTCTTGCGGATAGCAAGTCCAGGTCTGGAATCGCCTGAGGTTAATTCTGCCAGCTACCAGGTCCTAAAACGCACCCCCCTAGAAATAGCTGCACAGACATAGCTGTATGCTCGCGTTACCCACGTTCTTCAATCAGGAAGGCTCACAAGACGTAGTGACTTCGGAGATTCAGCCCGGCAAGCCATCGTCCCGTTCTTCCTGAGAACCTCTGAGGCTCTAAGGCCGCAACGTTCAACTTGCAGGGCGTTGAGAGGCCGACGCCGGCAGGGCTTCGGACGATGAGTGCGCCGCCTGAACGTTGTACTAGTATGTAAACTACATGTTCATACATGTCTGCTGCGTGCTCAATCGCCAAGATCGAAGGCCTGGGGGTAGAGGAGTTGTGGTTTCTACCTGGCCAAGACAACAGAGATCGAAGTTTGGCAGTGCTGGGGAGCTAACTTGGCTCACCATGCTTGCATGCCCCCAGAGCATGGCATGAACAGAGCGCCTGGAAGGTGACAACAGTAGCCTGCCCCGGCACCCTGGAAACTGGTTCCACCCAGGCATTCCTGCCGTGATCTTCGGCTTGCAATTATGAGTGCAAACCACCTGGCCTTGAATCACGTCCTGAGACTATAGTCCACACATAGTCAAGACTGCATGCAGCTTTGAAGACTTTTCAGTGTGGGTCGTACTCCCCAAATAATAAATAGGCAGGAAGGAAGTGTTTCTAGCTGTGCCGCTATGTATCATTCCAAAGCCACGAGTTGGCTAAGTCTACGACAACCGCTCCTCCGGTAGATGTAAGCACTACACTACACTCACTACACAGGCATGTCGACAGCTGAGCTTTGTTGGACTTGTAGGTAGCCGGCGCAGAGGCCGATCCCGCTGCTGCAACTGATAATGAAATTTGTTGAGCAGCATGGCCAACTTCATGCTGCAAACAGTGTGACAGGCCAGTCTAGCCGCGTGTCGTAGCGACACAACACGAGGTGCAGACTCACTTCCTGCGCCCTATGCCAGGCCTGAGTGACGGGATTTCCGGAGCATCTACACGGCCGGCCAGTACCCGGCCGCCTCTGCAACAGAACACATTGCATGGCTGTTTGGCACACGCACACAAGCTGCCATGTAGCGGACAATCCTAGAATCCTCTCCGCGTGTGGCAGCATATTGCCTTGCAACGCCTGCAGACCTTCGCCCCTTTCCTAGGCATGTGCTGAGTAGGACTGAGCTCCCTGGTCGTGACCTTCGCGCGCCAGCTCATTGTCTGGCGTGCAGGTCACGTATCCCCGGGCGCCTGTGGACCAGGACTGGTCGTATCCAAACCTGCTCAGGCAAACTGCTGCACACGGTTGGCCTTAAAAGCATGCAGTTTCAAACCAACATGCTCGTTGTGCTCTGGCCATGGGGCTGTGGCTCGAAAAAGAATGCCCGGTTGAACACGAGTGGCGCTGGAGGCATACGAAGCCACAAGGCAAACCTCAGCGGTTTTGGCAGTCACTCTCGCACTGGCCGGCGAGGTTGCACTAGAGGGGCGACCATGAACTTGTAAATTTCGACCAACAATCAAGCGAAGCCCGCTAATCATGACATGGCCTGGGTCTCTTGACCTTCCAACGTTTCAGTTCCAAAAGCTGGCACAATTGCCATCGCAGAAGTTTCGAAGGTGAGAGTAGGGTTCGTTACCTGTGAACCTCCCTCTCATGCTTCTTTCTTCCTGGCACTTGGGCTTTGTGATGTCTGCTTTAACGTTCTAGGCGCGTGCTGCAGCCCTTGCAAGGCCACAGACACCCGCGCTTCGAATTCATCTGCAGTGCCGGTCACACGTGATTCGCTCGCGACTTGCCCTGGACATGTAAAACATCTCGCATTGCAAAACTGCGGCAGCACGCGAAGAACAGGCGCTGCGCAATCCCAGCCGATGCGCAGAGTCCGTGCAGGTTTGTGTGGGTTTTCTGAGCCACAGCCGCGATCTGACCTGTTGTTAGCAATGCCGCAGATGCTAACAGCTAAGGTCGTTTCCCATAAGTCTCGTTCTGCAAATACCTGGACAGCGGGAAACGAGGATCTCGTCTGCTTGCACGGAGTGAACAGGACATGGCAGAAGCCGACATCTCGCCTGGCAGCCGGCCACCGGAGGACGTTGGCCGCCGCAAGTGGCAGACCTGAGAACGCTCACGCGCAACTTGCTCTGACTTGGTGAAGCTGGAACTGTAGCCTGGAAGGTCTGCTGTGGTACCTTCGAGATGCAGCTCCTGCTTCAAGACACTGGACCAAAGATCTAGACCATCTTCCGCGAATCGTGAGCAAGCGACCCCTTCCCAGTGTGCGCCTTTGCAGCAAAACGGTCGCTCTCTGTCTCTCTCTTCACAAAGCTCGAGGTGCATGCGCGGTTCGAGGCAGGATTTTGTCTGCCTAGCATCTCTCTCTCTCTCGCTTTCTCTCCTGGAAGCAAACAGAGCGCCACAGGAAATTGGCGGGAAACTAGGAGCTCCCCGGTAGCAGCATCACATCCAGAACCTTTGCTAGGGAAGGCAATTGCTGTCACAAAGTTTGGTTTCGAGGCGAATCTCTGCCTCTCTGTCTTTGCTTTCGGAGGGTTTAGGCCTGTCTGGCAGCCGCTACCTTTCTTTATTCGGGTCTGAGGGGGTTGCCCCTCCGCCCCTGTGCTAGTGTGCACTGTCAGATTCAAGGAACGAGTACGAGATAGTGCGAGAATGAAGCGATGTCTCCGCATAGGAGGGTGGCCCCGTGCTCCAGCTCAGGCGCACTCTTGCTACTTCTCCTTGCACAGTCGGCATGAGAAAGGTTTAGTTTGCTTGGTACAGTAACTCTTTCTTTCTGTCTTTCCTTCGTCAGGCTAGCGGACAGGGCTGGTCCTCTCTTCTTCTCCCAGGCATAAGGGGCGGGTCAGGCCTCCCGGTCAATTTGCAATTCAATTGAAGCAGCCCTCTCTCTGTCTGTTCTTCTTCTCATCTTAGCCTTAGCTGGCTAGAATCTGTCTTTTTCTTGCCTTGCCTTTCGCAAGGGCTGCGGTGGCTACATTATATACACTGTGTGTATATATATATATATTATGTGTGTGTGCGCAGACAGACTCTATAGAGTCTATCTTGGACCCGTGAACAACAAGCAAGGGAATGCCCATCGACGAACTCGTATTTGTCTACCAATTTGCTTGGACTGGCCCCTCAGCACGAGCGCTCAAACTGGATCACTGTGCCAACAGCAAGAAACATGGCAAGGTCGGTAGCGGCAGAGCTGAGTCTCCTCGTCCGGCACGAGCCACTCATAGCCCGAAGGTGCAGTTGCCCTGCTTGCATTCTCTCTTTGGGAGCTGATCTGCCATGCATGTGAGCTCGTGCCTGCCGCAACCAATCTTTAAACCACAAGCATCTGCCAAATGTGGAGCTTGAGGCTATGCTACCCGTCACGCCTGAAGGATGTCCAGATCTCCACCTTGGCTGCGGTCAGCAGACACCAGCTTACCTTATCCCTAGTTCTATAGCTGCCATTATGCTCATACAGCCTCAAGGAAAGCATCACCTTTTTTTGGCACCGCGCAGGCTGTCAGGCCTCGAGCCATCAGCCGCTGAATCCATCGCACGAGCGCATGCTTGCCGAATGCCTAGCAAGAGTGCGAGCCGAGTCCATTTTGGCATTGGGGATGTGTCCTGCTGCAGGGGTGATCTTCGTGCCGCACTCTCCAAGCGACTTGAAATGGAAAGAACATCTCCTAGAAAGCACCACAGATCACGCTTCGCGTGGACCTGCTACTTTGTCTGAGCTTGCGTTTTCCAAAAAACGCCGGCTCCCATAAACCAGGAACCGCTGGAAAACGGTCAAGATTCAGTGGAATTGCGAGCCAGCCTTCCTTCCCAAGACTTGCTCTGCAAATTCCGAAGGTTGCACCTTGTCTGCATTAACCTGTCTGTCCGGCGTTTCTGGTTTGTCCACATCCATGTCTTTGGCATGGCCAGAATCTTCGGTCCTCCAGTGAACTCGCACTTTCAAGTGGCGAACAAGCGAAGGCCGTGGCAGTGAATTTACAGTAGGCAGCTTCGAGATTCTATTTCGTCTCAAAGCCTATGTGCCGCATGCAACCCGAAACTGTAGATCCGAAATCCGAAAGGTGCAGCTGCAAGATATTGAGCAGGCCGGGCGGTTTGGCTTGCAGACAGGCTCCTTCTCGTGAATGTCGTCACGCAAAAATGCTTTCGCTGGGCAATACGCGCTTCGGCGCAGGCACAAGGACGTCCTCCTTGACATCCTCCTTAGGCCACGACAGCTATGGAGTCTTGTGCCCTTTCTCTACGTTTCATCAGATATCCTTGCTTTGAGGGATCTGGGCGGTGAGTTCTACCTGGACTAAGCCTGGTAGTGTAGCAGACCTTGCAGCCCCCCGAACCACTTGTCTTCTTCGAGATCATCTAACCCGAGTGGACTGACCTCGAGTTTGTCAAGGGCAGCGGACAGCTCTTGCTCGGGCTCCAAGGCCTGCGTGTACGTTCAAGCTCCCACTAACAGCAAGAAGGACATGTGGTTTGCTTGCTTCTGCTCTTTGTGCATGCTGGGCAGGGCATCTTTTTTTATGGTGCTGTGCTTGGGGATGCAACCTGAGGTTCCGCCTGGGGTCCTCCAGAATGACTGGTGCATATACGAGTTGAATACTGCTGGAGAATAAGGCTGCCCGGAAAACAGTCTGCACCTCATGGAAGACTTGGGCTGAAACTGTCCATAGCCACATGGACTATAATTATCTCGAAATTTCCGCGCCTGGGCATGCTGTTTCACCACGTCCGGCAAGCCCTGAAACTTGCACAACGGTGGTACTTCGACATGCTTGAATAGTCATAGAAACACCTCAAATCTGCATCAAGTTGCTGGAAGTAAAGGCGTCATCGGCTTCTTCAAAGGCGTCCCAGATCCCCGTGCCAAGCGCTGCATATCCCATTGCGCCAAACGGCGAGGCCTTTAGCTTCTCAGAAACTGCTTGATGCTTGATCAACAAAGCATCGACACGATCAGTGGCAGCAGAAAACCATCGTGGCACAAGCCCTACCCGCAGGCGTATTGGGTTTCCCTGAGTGACCAAGTAGCATTGTATGACGGCCTTCGGGGCAGGCCTCTTTGATGTACCTCGTGTCTGCAATCGCAGGCATCTGCTCAATTATGCATGTGCTGAGATCCCGAAACCAGCTCAGGTGCGACATCTCTCTGGAAGCCCTCCCCGGGAACGGGTTGCGAGGCATGCGAAGGGACGAATCCCAAACCAGATTCCTGTGACATCCATAACCTCAAGACGACAGCGCTCATGCACAGCTCTGACTAATCGCACGAGCCTCCGTGCATCCTCCGAGGGTCCGACTCGACATTGCCCAACGAGAGGTCTGCGTTCTCTCACCGTAGTGAGTGGTCATGGGAAGGTGGTCCTCGACTCTCGGCACTGAGAGCGCAATAGGCGCATTTCTTTACAGGAGGGCAGGAGGAAAATCACCTTTCCGCCTGCAGCCGGGATTCAGCTCTCAACGCTGGCAAGTGCGACGGGCGGAAGTTCCTCTTGGTGAGAGGACTATCCTCGAAAGCATGGTGCAGCGCTTCGGGCAGCTCGCCACTCAAATGCTGCACTGGTCACTATTGAGTGCTCTTTTCTTAGGTTTCTCAAGCCCTTCTCCGGCCCCTCTTTCTGCGACTTCGGTGTTCAACACGGGTTCCCGGAATTGCCAAAAGCAGATCCGAGAGTCCTCATAGAAGTGAAAGCCGTTTGAGGACTGCCACTTGAAGGGCAGCGTCCGATGACCATAGTTCGTGTCGAAGCCCCACTTCGTATCGCTCATGCCGCTGGTGGGCAGGCATGGAAAATGTCACACACGTCTACTCTTTGAGCCAGCAGCCGAAGCAAATGGTGTCTTCTAAACACGGGTGACTTGTAGGACAATGTAGGACAAAGTCTTTCACACCATAGGGCAAATCGCACTTTTCTCTCGCCCGCGATCATTGCTTTGGTCCTGCAGGCCCCAAGATAGACAGCCGGCGAGGTTTCCGACAGGCCCACAGAGTCTGCTATAGTGCCCCATCTCGCAAGCTCCTCTTCCTGTTGCGAATATTGTGCGAGCGCAGGAGCACGGCACACTGCTTGACTTGAGAACCCAAGCTGCTGTCAAACACCAGCTTTCTACGCGCTCATCGAGCTTGGGAGGCCGACGGTCTAAGGGGTGAAGTCACCCCGGCGTCGACCCCAAAAAAACCTTCACAATAGCAGCCGTTTCGGAGATACGGGCTCTGAACTTGCAGACTGATCTCTTCAAATTGCTACGCCTAAGGCTGTGCAAGCCACGGAAAGTACCAAAAGCAAGACACTTTGTATGGCCTCGTACCTCAGAAACCCCATATACCATGCGGGCTTCGAAGCTCATCACAATGTGCTGCAAGCTAGGACAGTGGCCGAGTCATTTGATGCCTATAGCAGAGCAGCAAGAAAGATGAACTGCAATTGCCTCATGGCTTTCAAGGAGAGCCCACAAACTCTACCAGCACTTCAGCAGTTTTGACTTCTTCTCAACTTTCGGAAACCCGATTGGTTTTGCGTGAGGCGTGAGTTCCCAGATAATCCGGGCCTGTGCTTGTGACAATTCATCGTCGAGCCGGTTGAGAAGACGTCTTAGGCGATGACCGTGAGGTCATGCGGCTGTGAGGTTCTACAGCACAGAGACTGATGATTTCCGACGAAACTGGTAAGCGCCCAACAGCAGCTGCTTCCAAGACTCTGTCCACGTAAAGTCTCAGCATCACTGAGTTTGGTCGAAACCATCCTAAAGCTCTTGTGAGACTCAGGCTTTGCCTTTAAAAATCTGATTGGACCAGGGCAGAAGTGCTCCGCAGGCTGCCCGAAAGCCCGGAAGTCGTCCAACTGCAACACCTACGTACGAGATACATCTACATCAGTCCAGGCGACTAGTATCCTGATTAATAACTATATCGGGATGGCCAGCTAGGTGGGACAATTCTAGACTTGCACAAGACTGCAGAAGTCTGTATTTTTTATGACATTCAGGTGACGTGCAGTGCTTTTTGCATTTTCACTGCAGCTTGGCTGTTGCACTGGAGCTGGGTCACGTCAGTCTGCCTCTCAGGCCACACACTCGTCATTGATCCGTGCACGAGATTAACTTGCAACAATACAAACCCCCGCCCAACATCAACCCCAAAACGGCAAATGAAAGCTGCACCAGCTCAGCAGGTAAGTCCACGAATCTGCGAAGTGCGCGCAAAAGCTTGTCGCCAAGCTGCCCACTTTCCGAAATGCGAGGCTTGGAACACCTTGACAACATCGAGAACGTCCGGTTGCAAAGCGCCGGATCAACACTATCAGGTGCAATGAATTCAAACACCTGGACCTCACCTAGGCCCTAGGTAATAAATAATTACCTAATCCTGCCAAGATGCATCCTCTGTCTTCATCCTGACTGAATCGGATTCATAAAGGGTTGGAAAATCGCAAATTGTCTCGCAAGATCTTGAAGTCGCACCTTCACATGCTAGCCTGGGCCTCACTTGGCTGTGATTTTTTGGCAGCGCCTCCTAAGATCAGTGACATCAACTGAATTTCGCTTCGGCCTCCTCCTCGGCGTGGACCGAGAAGTTGAGCAGGCGCGGGTATGGGTCTGTTGCTGGGGCTCAGATCGGCGCGGCCTGGGCACAAACGGATGACTTCCGAGTGTCGTGGTGAGGGCTTCCGGGTTTGCAGGTTGGCTTGACCGGGAGACGAGATGTTTTTCCCAAGCAAGACGACCTAGTAACTGCATCGTGCCTGTACTGTAGCCTCGTTCATAATGAGCTCTTATCGCAATAGAACTACAAAAACTGCTACTACTACGACGACGACTACTACTGATTACAACGATTACGACTGCTACTACTTCTGCTACTACTTCTGCGA